ATCAGTATCTACCATTCTGGTCTCGCATGCTTTATGACATTTTCTTGACCATTTGTAATGGGGTCTTGGTCTGCTACTGGTGACCATTTGCATCACTGATCTAGAGGCGGGTGTGAGATAGCTTCCTTCTTTGGGGTGCCGGGGGGTATCCTAAGCTGTCCCACGGACCCTGCAGCCCCAGCCCTGCTCTGATCCTGTCGTCGAGGTCAAATCACCTCGCAAGGGCAGAGCGCTGGGCGTCCCAGGTAGAGCAGAAAACACACAGTCAATTTTAACCCACTGCACCGATCAAGCACTGCTTCCTTTCTGTGGCATGGTAAGGCTGTGTGAAAGGTCCTTTGCAGTTTAAAAAAAATACAGCCTGTTCATCCGTATTTTCATGTCAGTACTGTCACCTTAGTGATGCGCGGTTATATCTTCGTTTCTTAAATCTCTCATTAGCACTGTGGGGAATTCTTGGTGCTAATTGGTTAAAGATCTCGAGGAACCTTGTCATTAACTGTGCCTTTCCTGATAACGCTGGGTTAGTCCGAAGAAGAAAAGTAACAGTGAAAGGCAGGTTAAAAAAAGATTTCCTGGTCTAATTGAAGGCTGACCTCCTTTCGCGGTGTTTCTCTCTGCTGTGTGCGCACCGTGGCGAGGGGAGGGAGAGGGAGGGAGAGGGATCGCAGTCTTACGCTCTGGGTGTCCTCCACAGCGGAGGGCTATGCGGCTTTCCAGGAGGACAGCTCCGGGGATGAGGCCGAGAGCCCCTCCAAGATGAAGCGCTCCAAGGGCATCCACGTCTTCAAGAAGCCCAGCTTCTCCAAGAAGAAGGAGAAGGACTTCAAGGTGAAGGAGAAGCCCAAGGAGGAGAAGCACAAGGAGGACAAGCACAAGGAGGAGAAAACCAAGGACAAGAAGTCCAAGGACCTGACGGCGGCCGAGGTGGTGAAGCAGTGGAAGGAGAAGAAGAAGAAGAAGAAGCCCGTGGCCGAGCCGGAGGCGGTCCTGGCCGAGGCCCCCTCCGCGCGGCCGGTCTTCGGCGCGCCCCTGGCCGAGGCCGCGGAGCGCACCGTCCTGTACGACGGCATCCAGCTGCCCGCCGTCTTCCGCGAGTGCGTCGACTACATCGAGAGCTACGGGATGAAGTGCGAGGGGATCTACCGCGTGTCAGGTACCCGCCGGCGGCCTGGCGCGGCTCTCCGCTGGTCGCGCGCGCTCGGCGTGCGTTCCGGAGCCGCCGC